ACGTATGTATGTATATGTGCATATGCACACACACATGTGTATATACCACAAAAATACGCTACCGAGGAACCCTAGATACTTCGTTTAATCACTTGTGTTCGCAGAGCTGAGAGGCAACATGTGGACAACGCTCGCAACCGCTACCCTGCTGCTACCGTCGACGGGCGCTCATAAGGGGACCACCCCCTGCGCACCCCATATGGCGTCGAGAAATTGCCACGCCTGCTGCGTCCTGGACGTGAGGCGCGCATACCGGGACCACCCCCTGCGCACCCCCTATGGGGTCGAGAGCATGCCACGCCTGCTGTGCCCTAGACGGGAGGCGCGCATAGCGGACCCCCCCTCTGCGCATCCCCCACGAGGTCGGGAACATTCCACGCCTGCTGTGCCCTGGACGAGAGGCGCGCATAGCAGGACCACCCTCAGCGCTCCCCCTTTATGCCTATGGGGGGCGAAAAAAAAGCCACGTTTGGTTTGTCTTGGACGGAATGCGCGCATGGGAAGACCACCCCCTGCGCACCCCCTATGGGGTCGAGAGAATGCCACGCCTGCTGTGCCCTAGACGAGAGGCGCGCATCGGGAGACCACCCCCCGCACACCCCTTTCATGGGGTCGTGCCCTGGACGACAGGCGCGCATGTGGAAACCACCCCCTGCGCACCCCCTTATGGGGCCGAGAGCATGCCACGCCTGCTGTGCCCTGGACGACAAGCGCGCATGTGGAAACCACCCCCTGCGCACCCCCTTTTTATGGGGTCGAAAACATGCCACGCCTGCTGTGCCCTGGACGAGAGGCGCGCATAGGGAGACCATCCCCTGCGCACCCCATTATGGGGTCGAGAGCATGCCACGCCTGCTGTGCCCTGGACGGGAGGCCCGCATACGGAGACCACCCCCTGCGCACCCCCTGTGGGGTCGAGAGAGTGCCAAGCCTGTTGTGCCCTGGACGAAAGGCGTGCATAGGGAAACCACTCCCCGCGCACCCCCTATGGGATCGAGAGAATGCCACGCCTGCTGTGCCCTGAGCGAGAGGCGCGCGTAGGGAGACCCCCCATGCGCACCCCCTTGATGGGTTCGAGAGGATGCCACGCCTGCTGTGCCCTGGACGAGAGGCAAGCATAGGGAAACCACCCCCTGCGCACCCCCTATGGGGTCGAGAGAATGTCAAGCCTGTTGTGTCCGATGCGAGAGGCGCGCATAGGGAGACCACCCCCTGCGCACCCCCTGAAAGGTCGAGAAACTGCCACGCCTGCAGTGCCCTGCAAGAGAGGCACGCATAGGGAGACCACCCCCTACGCACCCCCTTCACGGGGTCGAGAGAATGCCACGCCTGGTGGGCCCTAGACGGGAGGCGCGCATAGGGAGACCACCCCCAGCACACCCCCTATGGGGTCGAGAGCATGCCACGCCTGCTGTGCCCTGGACGAGAGGCGCGCATAGGGAGACCACCCCTTCGCACCCCCTTTATGGGGCCGAGAGCATGCCACGCCTGCTGTGCTCAGCTGTGCCTCGCTGTGAGAAGGAGAAATGGGAGGAGGTGAGGTGAGTGAGGGTCGCGGGTGCGACGCGGCAGGGATGAAAACCAGAACCCCACGAAACACGTGGGGAACAAATTATGCTAACGATTCCTGTCTGCCACCCGCCCTCGCCTTCTCCATCTTCTTCTATCATCCCCCTCCTCCTCCTCTGTCTCCTCTTCGTCGTTGTGCGCCTCCCCCATCATCATCACTCGTTTGCTCCTCGTCTTCCTTGTCCTCGTTCTCCTCCTCCTTCTCCCCATCCTCCTCCTCGTTCTCCTCCTCCTCCTCCTCCTCCTCGTCCTCCGCCTCTTCCTCCTCCTCCTCCTCATCTTCCTCGTTTTTCATCTTTTCCTATTGTTTGTCCTCTTCGTTCTCCTCCCCCTCCTCCTCCCGTTCCTCCACCTCTTCGGTGTCTTCGATATCGCCCTGCTCGCTCAGGCGGGGCCTCCCTGGAGGGGTGGGAGGGGCACGAAACCTGATAAATAGTATGGTATTCGAAAACCCTGCTCGCTCAGGCGGGGCCTCCCTGGGGGGTGGGAGGGGCACGAAGCCTGTTAAATAGTATGGTATCCGAATGCCCTGCTCGCTCAGGCGGGGCCTCTCTGGAGGAGTGTGAGGGGCACGAAGCCTGATAAATAGTATGGTATTCGAATAGCCTGCTCGCTCAGGCGGGGCCTCCCTGGGGGGGTGGGAGGGGCACGAAACCTGATAAATAGTATAGTATTCGAATACCCTGCTCGCTCAGGGGGGCCTCCCTGGAGGGGTGGGAGGGGCACGAAAGAAGCCTGATAAGTAGTATGGTATTCGAATACCCTGCTCGCTCAGGCGGGGCCTCCTTGGAGGGGTGGGAGGGGCACGAAACCTGATAAATAGTATAGCATTTGAATACCCTGCCCGGTCAGGCGGGGCCTCCCTGGAGGGGTGGGAGAAGCACAAAGCCTGATAAATACTATGGTATCCGGATACACTGCTCGCTCAGGCGGGGCCTCCCTGGAGGGGTGGGAGGGGCACGAAGCCTGCTAAATACTATGGTATCCGAATACACTGCTCCTGCAGGCGGGGCCTCCCTGCTGGAGGGGTGTGAGGGGCTGGCTGACAAATAGAAACGAAACCTGATAAATCGTATGGTATTCGAATACCATGCTCGCTCAGGCGGGGCCTCCCTGGAGGGGTGGGAGAAGCACAAAGCCTGATACATAGTATGGTATCCGAATGCCCTGCTCGCTCAGGCGGGGCCTCCCTGGAGGGGTTGGAGGGGCACAAAGCCTGATAAATAGTATGGTATTCGAATACCCTGCTCGCTCAGGCGGGGCCTCCCTGGAGGTGTGGGAAGGTATAGTATGGTGTGGAAGGTATGGTATTGTATGGCAGCTATGGTATGGTATGGTATGGAAGGTATGGTATGGTAGCTATGATATGGTAGGTATGGTATGGTATTGTACGGATGGTATGGAGAAGGGAACGGGAGGTGGGAAGGTGGAAAGGTTGGAGGGAGAGGGCGTTCTGGGAAAACAGGAACCCCACTCAGGATGTGCGGAAAAAACTTAATTACAAACAACTGGAGCAGACGACTAAATATTAATTTCGCTGGCACTCATGCGGGTAGACGGAGGGCGGACAATCCCGGGTCGTCTGGAGGCCGGGGGGGGGGCACGGGCTGACAATTCAGGGCAGGGGGGGGAAGCAATTCCGAGCCGGGCAGGCTAAAGCAGCCTGACCGACGGAGGACGGACAATCTCTGACTGTCTGGGAAGGACCCCGCTGGCGGACAATTCGAAGCCGAAGGAGCAGACAGTTAGAGGCCGCGGAATTGCCTGCCGCCAGCCCCGCGTGGAAAGTAGAAATCCCGATCCACAGTTCAAGGCGGGGAGAGACAATTCTAAGACGGACGGAGCAAAGAAGCCTGACCGACGGAGGGCGGACAATCCATGGCTGCCTGGGAAGGACCCCGCTGGGGGTCAATTCGAAGCCTGCGGACAATTCGAGGCCGCGGGGCTGCCTGCGGCCAGCCTTGCGTGGAAAGCAGAAATTATGATCCGCCGCTCCGCCTTTACACGACGACCTCGAACGCCAGCCCTGTGCGAAAGGCAGGCATTATGCGCCGCCTTTAAACAACCACCTCCTCCTCCTCCTCCTCCTCCTCCTCCTCCGCCTCCTCCTCCTGCTCCACCTCCTCCTCCTCCTCCTCCTCCGCCTACTCCTCCTCCTCCTCCGCCTCCTCCTCCTCCTCCTCCTCCTCCTCCTGCCCCTCCCCCCTCCTCCAAATCTCCGTGGCCGTCCGCAAGGATGACAGCTCGGACGTGTTTTGGGGCCCGTGCCCTCCTCAGGGAAGGCAGGGGGAGGAGGGGGAGGGGAAGGGCGGCAAGGAAGGATTGCAGGAGGGAAGGAGGTAGGGAGGGGGAGGAGGGAGGAAGGGAAGAGGGGAGGGAGGTAGCGGGGGGAGGGGGGGGTCCACGTGCGACAGTGCGCGCGCTGCGTCTGCTGCGTTCCACCTCTTCGACAGCGCCCTCCCTTACCTACCCCCATCCCTCCTCTCTCCGCAATCCCCCCCGCCGCCGCGGATGGTCAAGCGAGCGCAAGGGGACGAATATAAAATCGGTTCCGGCGCGACGACAGACCAATGCCGATGGGGCAGACGATGAAAACATCAATTTCCCGCGGCTCAATTTTGTTAGTCTGCCCCACTCATTCATTTTGGGGGCCCTGGGGTTCATCGCTTTTTTTTCGCTCGCCCCCTTCATTCAAAACGAGAATCCAACTCAGGAGGGTTGGGATCTGCGTGGGGCTCCACTGTGCCGGCTCCCTCAGCAGTCCTCGAAAGTGGTGACGATCACACTTCGCAGCCCCGCAGGGATGGCGAGGTCCTGTTTGGGTCTGCGTGGGGCACCACTGTGCGGGCTCCCCCACCAGCCCTCGAAAGTGGCGACAGGTTCACATTTCGCAGCCCACGGAAGGGATGCGAGAGGAGAAACCGAGAGGAGAGTGGAAGGGGGGGGGGGGGGCGAGGAGGAGGAGAAGAGAGTTGGCACCCCACCCTTCTACGCAAAATGAAAAACCACCCAAGGGAGGGTTGGATCAAGAAGGCTGCCAGAGTCGGCCCAGGCCCGGGTGTGCCCTCGGCTCTCGTCACCAGCTTGGGGGCCCCCCGCGGGCCTCGCGAGGGCTCCGAGGGCCACCCGGGGCCCCCATGGGTCTCCCTGGGAAAGCTGCGGCCACCTCCAGCCAGGGCCACCTCTAGGAGCGGCCAGAATCGGAGCGTCGGATCGCATCGGGTCGGGACGTGTATCGGATCGGGAGCCACCAGCACGAAGCCGGAAGCGAATCGGATCGGCTGCGCCAGGACGCACAACAACGCCATGCGAGCATCAAGCCGTATCGGATCGTCGGAGCACCGAACTCGAATCCGATCGAGCAGGCTTGAGCCGATATTAACATGATCGATCGGAGCGACATGGGCGGGCGAGCGCGGGCGGGCGCGGGCCGAGGATGCCCGAGTCCAGCAGCGTCCCCCCAGCGGCGTAGTCCTGAAGGGCGCCAACGAGCACCGGCCCGCCCGAACTGGATGGAAAGGAAACAAAGACCATGGCCGAGAATAAACGCGGAAAGGACGGTCGATCCTGGTCACTGTGCATCTTGGATCGTCGATCATCCTCTGGGATCGGCGACGGCGGGCCTGGACCATGACCAAGGTCTTCATCGACAAAATCCCGCGACGTCTTGGTCATGGTCATCGCTTTTCTTCCCTCAAGGAACGATCCCAGCTGGCCGCCCATCCTGAACCCAGGATCAGAGCACAGGGCAGGTTCGCGTCGCGATGACGAGCGTGTTGGTCTATTAAACCTTGAACATTGAGCATTGGCACTGCATGTTGTCTGACACCATTACCATTGAACACAGAACACTGCACATTGAACACTGATGACTTGCGCGTTGGTATTTGACACCACGGTGATTCATGAACGATTGCAGATTTCCGACAGCGCAAATCGCTCCGATCCACTACGGTACGCCCTGGCACTTTGAAGCGTGGTAGAATGCCAAATGCTGTCGGGTAGGGCTTCCGTGAGTCTTCTAAATGGGCCCACCTTCCAGTAGTGCTTCACTGGCACGGTGGGGGATTTGCCACAAACACTCCAGTCATCGGCCGATGCTGGGGCACTGGCGGTAATCAACATTGAACGCCCGCGCTGTGATCGCCGCTGTGATCGCCGCCGCGTCGACGCGGCGCGAACCAGTCGTACCGCCATCCAGGCCCTAAGGAGCAAGACCGAGGATCGAGGATCCGGGATCAGGGTTTGCGGACGATGTTCGCCAATTCTGCGGCCTCGGGGGGGTATCTGGAGGCCTCCAGGGGACCTCCGCAGACGTGTCGACCGATCGCATCCAAGGCAGACCCTGGGCAGGATCGGCACGCACTCCTCCCCCAGCCTGGTCGGGAGGCCGCATGAGCCGATCCTGGGCGGAGGATCTTGCCTGGCCAAGATCAGCGTCGGAGTACAGTGCCGCCAGCCCTTTAGGACGTAGGCGGCTTAGGCAGCTCGTCTTTCCAAGCCCCTTCTTCCCCTCCCCGTGTTCCTTTCCCTGGGTCTGGAGGGGGGGGACCGCGAGAGGTTGGAGCGTCCAAGATGGCCCAAGCTGGCTTCAAAACGGGCTCAGGTAGCCCAAGATGGCATACACGATCACACAAGATGACCCAACATGGCTCAAGACAGCCTCCAACATGCCCGAATACACCAAGGTGTCCACGGATCCTCTCAAGGACGCCCCCCGAGGGGCCAAAATCCAATGAAAATCCATGGCGCTGTCCGTCTCGCCATTTCGCCTCCGACGCGCGTTTGATGCATCCAGATGGCTCCAAGGCCGCCCAAGAGAGCCCAAAGAGGAGGCCAAGAGGACCCCAAGAGCGCTCAAGAGCGCCACAGAAACACCCAAACAGGGCCACGGAAGATAACTTTGAGGTCTCTTACAAGCCGAAATCAAGAACCCCCCAAGAGCGCCCCAAGAGGACCCTTCAGAGCCACAAAGGCTGCCAAAACGGCCCAAAGAGGGCTCCAAGGAGGAGCCCCTAGAAAAACATAAAGCTGTCTTCATCATCTCGCCCTCCTCCGCGTTACTCGAAGAGAACAATCATCTCCTCTCCCCTGCTACTGTCTTTGATCTCCTCCGCCTATCCCGCATATCGTTATGTTGCACACCGGGTAGCTCAAACCGTTCCCTGCCCTGTACAATTCGCCGACCCTGTCGGCGTGTGGAAGAGGCTGTTCCGTTTGACCTGTCGTCGTCGTCGTCGTGGTCGTTGTCGTCGTCGAGCGCGCCAGCCACAGCGAAATTGAGCAACGTTGTAGTGGAGTCGAACGGAAGCCCCTTCCCTTAGATCCCTTTCCCGCCGGGGGGGGCGTCCCGGGGAAGTCCCAAGGAAGTCCCGGGGAAGTTCCGGGTCAGATACGACTGCCCCCAGGGCGGTTCGGGGGAGCCCCAAGACGCTGCAAAAATGCCCCAAGATGCCCCCGTGACGGTCCGGGCCCCGAATCGCCGAAGTATCGGTCCAAGTCGCCAAAGTAGCCTCCAGACGGCTCAAAAGGTTTCCAAAACGTCCCAAGGGGTCTCCAAGAGGACTTCAAAAAGTGCACCAAGGAACAAGAATCATCGATTTCCCTTAGCTTTTTGAAAGATTTCGGCATTCTCGCCTTGTCAGCTTCCCGACGCTCCAAGACATGCCAAGAGGCCCCTAAGACTGCACCAAAATGGCCCAAGAGGGGTCCAAGAGAGCCCCAAAACGACCGGGCCCCAAGACCATCCGAGAGGCCTCCAAGACAATCGAAGAGGCTCCCAAGACGTTTGTAAGAGTGAGCCCAGACGGGGGACCCGAACGGACATTTCGAGCCCTGGGCTTGAGAAGCTCTCAGGAGACCCCCAGAGGCCCCTGAGAAGCCCCCCAAGAAGCCCCAAGAGGCCCCCAAGAGACCCCCAGGAAGCCCCAAGAGACCTCCACGAGGCTCCGAAGCGGCCACAAGGAGCTTCCCAAGAGGCCTCCAAACTACCCCCAGGAGGCCCCCGAGAGCTTCGGCGTTGTGGTCGTGGTTGTCGCCGCCATGCAGGGTCGGCGGCACCAGCTGTAAGGCAATAGTGTGCTCAGGCTGCAGCGTGGCCACATTAATGATTTGCACTGAATCCCCGTCCAACGGAACCAAGCTCTCGCTGTCGGGCTGGCCCTACTACTGCATCAATACAAGTGGTGACCCCGTTTTAGCAAAATTCTTGAAAAAGTTCAATGGAAAGTACGGCCTGCGGAGATAACATCACACGTGAACGACGTGGAGTTCTCTGTTCATGAAGTTGGAAAAACTGTGCAAACATTGAAATGGGGCAAGGCAAGCGGCCCGGACGGTATCCCAGCGGAGTATTGGAAAGCAGTGGCCCAAACGCCTGGGGGGCTACAGTGGCTCACAAAATTATGCAACGCATGCTGGCTAGAAGAGTCGGCCCCGCAAGCCTGGCGACATTATTTTGTGAATGCGATTTACAAAAACAAAGGGCCTGTGCACATCTGCGACAACTACAGACCGATCAGCTTATTGTGTGTAGCGTACAAAGTGGTGGCAAATTTGCTATTGCGGCGACTTCAGGACGCTGGGGCAGAAGACTGGCTTGCTGCTACTCAATTCGGTCTCTGCCGAGGACGGGGCACGACAGACGCTATCCACGTGGTCCGCAGGTACATCGAATTGGCAAACGCCGGGGAAACTGCAGGGACCACTTTCGTTGCGCTAGACTGGAAAAAAGCATTCGATTCGATTAATGTGGAAGCTATGTTTGTATTGCTGCAGAGGTTTGGGCTCCCTGCTCGGCTTCTCCCAATAATCAAGAGCATGTATACCAACAGGAGCTTCTGCGTGGCCGATGGGGGTCAGAGGTCGCGCGAGAGGCGGCAGAGATCTGGCATCGCGCAACAATGACAGTGATAATACAAGACGCAACCGCGACGTTGAGCGACCAGGCCAAGACAGTGTTTGAACCTGGAAATGTATAGGTCTTACTGCATGCGGACGACGCTCTTACCTTTGGACAACACCAAGGGTACATGCAGGAGCTGCTGAACGCAATCGCCACTTCCAGAGGAAAGGCGGGCATGGAATTACCTTGGGACAACTTCCAAGTGCTACATGTGCAGAACGACATAGAGTTATACTCGCCTTCTGGAGCACTCACACAGCCAAAAGAACGTCTTGTCTACCTGGGAGCTACAATTAGCAACGCTGGCAGAATATCCGGGGAGTTCAATCGAAGATTGGGGGCGGCGTGGGGTGAGTTCTCCAGGTACTGTAAGGTTTGGAAGCGCACTTCGATCGGTGCCAAGAGAAAGCTGCGAATCTTCGACGCGATGATCACTAGTAAGGTCATGTACTCCCTCAGTTCCGCGTGGCTCACCAGAGCCGACAGGAAGCGGTTGGACGGATTCAGGGCCAAATGTTTCAGACAAACCTTGCACATACCTCCGGCATTCATCTCCAGAGTCTCCAACAAATGCGTTTTGGGAAAAAGCTAACAATCGCCGTACAGTTCCCAACTGTTGAAACAACAGTCTATACTGTTTGGGAAAATTAGTCGGTATCCCAACGATCATGTTTTGCGGCGGAAGCCAACGTTCCAGCCGGACACCGGGCGTGGGCCTGCGAGCGCAAGCGGGATCGGACCAAACAGAAGTGGGCGGCCGAATTGCATAAACTTGTGAGACCCCACTTCGAGGCCGTGGAGTCTTTCGTGGCAGCAGTCGCAGACCCGATACGTTGGAGATCGTTCGTGTTCAATGTTGTAAAGAGCGCCAGTAACACAGAAGAGAAACATTTTGAATGAGAGCTGATTTTCCTGTGCGCCCTGGCTGAAATACACATCATCGTCATCTCCCTCCTCCCCTCGTCCTCCCGGCGCGCATTTGGCGCGTCGTCGCTGTCTGCCTTGCCGCGCTTTTGGCGCCTTCTGTCCGCCAGCTAACGCGTTTGGCGTTGCTCGCGCGCTCGCCAATTGTCTTGCCCACGCGCGTTTTGCGTATGGCTGCTTCGATTCGATCCCGTTTTAGCGTTTGCCACGTTTCAGAAATTCTATAGTTTCTGCCTAATGGAACGACGCTCTCGACGCCGCAGCGCTGGCACTAGTCTTGCCCCAGTAAGAATGAAGCTCCCGTTGAAGCGTATGTCACATGTGAAGAATTGAGAGAGCGTGATCCACCGCCGCTTTACTATGAAAATTTCCCCCTCTTCCTCCGGAGCCCGGGCACCCCCCTCCTCCGAAAATCCCCCCCCCTGCTGGACCCCCCCCCTTCCCCCAGGCAAAACCCCCGTCCGCCCTAACCCCCTACCCCCCCTCCCTCCAAAAAACCGGTGGGGGTCACTACTGGTTCGATACCCCCCCCCTCCGGTAAACCGGGAGGGGTCACTACCGGCTCGAACCCCTCCCCCCCCCACCCCCCACAAAACCAGGGGGGTCACTACCGGTTCGAACCCCCCCTCCAGAAAACCGGAGGATGGTCACTACCGGTTCGAACACCCCCTCCCTTCCAGAAAACCGCGGGGGGTCACTACCGGTTCGAGCCTCCTCCCCCCCCCCGGGGCCCCCCACCCACGCTCACCACCGGCAAACGACTCCCAGGTCCCTACCACCGTCCACACCACATCCCCCACTGCTGTCCCCAGCACCAGTCCTCACCACCAGTCCCCACTGTTCACACCACCGTCCCCACTATCCCCACCAGTGCCTCCACCACGGGCGCACTGTCCCCACTGTCCCCATCACAGATCCCACCACGGTCCCACTCTCCCCACTTTCCCCACGGCCCCAACCACTGTCCCATCCCCACTGTCCCACTGTCCCCGCCGCTGTCCCACTGAGCTGTCCCACTGTTCCCACCACTGTCCCCAGTCCCCACCACTGCCCCCACTGCACCTCTGTCCCATTGTCCCACCGCCGTCCTCGCCACCGCCCTCACCACTGTCCCCACCACCACTGCCCCCACCACTGTCCCACTGTCTCCTCACTGTCCCCACTCTCCCCACCATTGTCCCACCACGGTCCCACTCTCACCACTTTCCCCACGGTCCCCACCACTGTCCCACTGTCCCCACTGTACCCACCACTGTCCCACTGTCCCCGCCGCTGTCCCACTGTGCTGTCCCACCGTGCCCACTGTCCCCACCACTGTCCCACTTGCCCCACTGTCCCCACCACTCTCCCCACTGTACTACTGTCCCACCACTGTCCTCACCGCCGCCTTCACCACAGTCCCCACCACTACCATCCCCATCACTGTCTGACTGTCCCCACCACTGTCCCGCTGTCCCCTCACCACTGTCCCCACCACCACCGTCCCCACCACTGTCCGCAGCACTGTCCCACTGTCCCCGCACCACTGTCCCCACCACCACCGTTCCCACCACTGTCCCAGTATCCCCACCATTGTCCAACTGTCTCGACGAGCGGGAATCGTCGTTTGCCGGCGGCGAAGGGAGAAGGGGGTTCGAACAGGTAGTGACCCCCCCCCGGTTTTCGAGGGGGGGGATTCGAACCGGTAGTGACCCCCTCCCTGTTCATGATGGACTGGGGGGGGGGGGGGGGAGGGGTTCGAACCGGTAGTGACCCCCCCCGTTTTCGAGGGGAGGGGGGACGGGTTGGGACCCCCCAGTGCCCCCCCCACGGCTTTCCGCCAGCAGGGCGGACTACTGCTTAACCAAAAGTGGTGTTCCCGCTTTACCGTTAGCCACGTCTCAGCACAAAGTTACCCTTTCGGGATCCATGCATTCTTCGACATTCGACTGTGCGAATAGAGAGGACCAGCACGAAGTCAACTATGGAGCGAGCGCACAATTTTTGTCCTCCCCCCCTCGCCCTCCCCCGCTCAAAATGGATCCACCGACCCCTCCCGGGACCCATGCTCGTCGACTTCCCACCACGGATCGACGTCTGACTGCCCCAGGGCCCGAAGCCGGACCTGCGGGCCAAAGCTGTCGAAAAAGCCTCCCTCCACCTGCCCACTTCCACGCAGGGCCCCGGCGGGAGCAGTCCGGGGACGGCTGCCCGGAGCTGAAGTCATCGTGGTCGTCGAAGCGCATCTGAGGGACCGGGGACACCATTGCGAGGATCCCTGGCGCGCACGCCGGCGGTCATGGCGCGGGCGAGCCGTGGTCCCCCAGGTGGGCCCTCGCGACGAGTGCGCGTTGGACGCACAAGGGGGCGCGCGTACGACCCGAACATATAGTACGGCCGTCTTGTAGTGTATCGCTAAAAGAGTTCTTGGCGCGCGCGTCTTCCACGGAGGGCGGCGCACACATAGTTTTAGTATGTTGGGGTAACGCCGATACGAGGCCGTCTACAGCGACAGCACGAACAAAAATCGTACGAACCGACAACGAGACCGAAACCATCCCAAGCCGACAGGGCGCAGGCAGGCTATAAGGGCGCGGCGGCGCAGCAACGACACAGCAGATGGCCGAAGCGAATCGACTGCGACGCAGCCGACTACGACGCAGCAAAACCAACCGAGCTGCGGATACCCTTGATGAGCACGTGATCGTCGCCGACACGGGGGGCGAAATCACAAGACCAGATGGTGCAAAATCTAAGCCCTCCTCTCGACCATCCTAGCCCTCCTCTCCTGAACCCCGGGGCCACTGCGGGCGGGCGGGCGCGCGGGCGAGCGGGAAGGCGCTGGCGCGCGGGCATGCGGGCGTTCGCGCATGCATTTGAACGGTACGTTTCCGCCCCAGGCTGCGCTGCTGCACGTCACGGATAGAGCAGGATACAGTTTGGTTCCACCCCTTCTGCGCGCCACGTGACGAGTGGAGTAGAGTAGTGGTCTTTCCGCGCCCCTGCATTGTCCTACGACGAGTAAGCGACATAGTCTTCGATCCGCTCCCTCTGCGATGGCACGTGACTCGTGGAGCAAGATGCAGGATACTATGTGTTTCCGCCCCATGGGCTGCCAAGTGACATGTGAAGTGAAGCAATACGTTTTCTGCCCCTCTGCGCTGCCACGTGACGAATGGAGTCGGATAGTATTGTGTCCGCCCCACTGCCTCGCCACATGGCAAGTAGAGCATAATGTAGCACCCCGCAGTTGCGGATAAGAGGGGGCGGCGGGGACGTCGGCAGCCTGCGAGGCTCTACAAATGCCCGCCGCAGGGACCCAAAATTTGCAAGTTGCACAACGAGCCCGCAGCAGGCGCCGAAAGCAATGTGGGTCGCGGTGGGTCGCGGGAGGGTCGCCGGGTGGGTCGTGGGGTGGGTCGCCGGATGGGTCGAGGAGGGCGTCGCAAGCGAGGACGACAACAACAGCAACAACAACAACAACCACAAACAGTTTAAGACTGTTCGCTCTTATCTAATTGCGTGCCATTCAACTCGTATATCCCAAACTCGATAGCCGCCCTCTTCGTTTTCGATCGTACCCCCTCGGAAGTATACGTAAATATTTCTTATCTGCAACGTGTAGTTCGTGCAATCCCTGGGAAGGAAAAGAAGACGGATGGAAGGAAGGCACAAGGGGGAAGGAGGAGGGCGGAGCACAAAAGAGAGTAGCACGAGGGGAGCTAGAACAGAAAAGACGTTGCAAAAACAGACGGGCAAATCGGGCGGATAGACCGGGCGGGTCGGAATGCAGGCACTGGCGGCCAGGTCGAGCAGGCGGGTTGCTGAAGCGTGCATCCTGCATGAACCGCGAGGAAGTCTCGAGCGGTAGCACGATTCCCAAATAAATCGTGAGGAAGTCCTCAACGGGAGCGTGATTCCTCAGTGTCGAGGGCGCGGCGTCTGAATAAATTGCGAGAAGTCCCACGCGAGAGCGCGACTCCTGCATACATTGTAAAGAAGTCCCACGCGAGAGCGCGAATTGGGAATCAATTGTGAAGATGTATCATGCGGGAACTGGGGGCCAACAACACAATTCTAAGACTCAAACTTTCCGTGATAAAAAACCAAGGGCACTTGACATGAAAAAAAGCCGTGTGCCCCAGAGGGGGGAGCAACAATAATTGTTCTTCCGACATGAAACTTCAACAACAATAGCAACAGCAACAAAGCACAAACACGGACTGCGGCGGCCCCGTGCCCATGCACGGGTCGCAATATGAGGCTCCTCTATAAAACATGAATCTGGAATGCAGTCCCGTCACCCGACCCCCCCCCCCCCGCACCCCCGCGACGCGACACGACGCGACCCCAATTAATAAATCGTGACTGCGGAATCGTTAGCAACAAAACGCCTTCACATGAGATCCATAATGCAAACAAAAAAAACGCCGTAAGAACTTAAGCGGGAGAAATTGGAGGGGACTCTCTACGGAGAAAAGTTTGGCCATGAACCCTGCTCAAGGAATGCTTAGTTCGTGACGGATCCATAGTCTGGGTTCGTCTGCACGAAATCCTTTGTAAGAGATCATGGATGCGGAATCCTTGATAAGGAAACAACCCAATGAAACCTTGGTAATAAATTGCAACTCAGAAATCCTGAATGACGAACCGTTACTGAAGAACCCCTAGTCCAGACACCTCACCAAACAATCATGAATAAGGAACCCTTCATAAGGAACCTTTCACTAAGGAGTCCATAATACAAAAATCGCTGCGCATCCTTGGTGAGGACCCCTCATCGAGAAATCCGCATCAATGAATCCTCCATACGGAATCTCCCCCGAGGAAGCACACGACTGAATCCCAGGTAAGGAATCCTTCGCAATGATTCGTGGATAAGGAATACGCACTGGGAAATGCTCAGCAATAACTTCTTAGCAAAAAATTATGAAGGAGGAAACCTTCGCAAGACGCCCTTAATAAGAAAACTGTCTCACGAATGCGCCATTAATAATCCATGGCAAGGAATCCTTCAACTAAATAATCATTTTGTATTGCACTCAAACAAAAGAAAGTTACGGAATCCTTCGGGAAGACTCCAACTAATAAGAGAACTTTGCGAAGGAACCCTGCGTCAACTATGTTTCCTGCGGAACCCTTTACCAAATAATCAAAAGTACAATACCCTTACGGCAAAATCTGTGCGAGAGAAACCGCACTAAGAAACCCGTATGTTCGAAATCGTTTCTGCGGAATCCTGCCCACATAATCCGTATTACAACGCCCTTCCTGCGGAATCCGCACTAAATATTCCGTACTACAACTTCCTTCCTACAGAACCCATACTGAATAATCCGGATTGGTGAGCTAATCGGGAATCCTTTGTACGGGGTCATTTCTACAACGCCTTTTCAAATTCTTACTGAATGAAGCTTGGCCAGAAGTGCTTATCAAAGGCGAACGAACCCTTTACCAAAACATCCTGCCGAAAGAGCCCTTACTAAAGAAGCCGGATTCAAGCACACATAATTGGGCTCCTTGACGGGGAATCCTTCGAGAGGATTCCTCAGTACGGAATCCGTAATGAGGAAGCCGCATTCCGGGATCCTTTTTATGGAACCGAGAAGCCCGTGGCAAGGAGTCCACACTGCAAAGCCTTAAGTACAGATCCTGAACAAAAAAACTTGCTGGAGATATTTCTGATGTCGGGAACCCTCAAGACCCCGAACTGAAGATCACATATTGAAAATCCTTAACTGAAGATCGCTTGCTGAAGAATACCCGCTTAAAAAAGGGACCCTTAGGAAGGACTCCTTGGTAAAGAACCAGTTGTAAGGAGCCAGTCGCTTGAACAAAAAACTTGGCACGGATTCCTGAGTGAGGACTCCTTCGACTCATGAATAAGGAATCATTGAGAAATCCTGCGTGCAGAATCTCTGGTAAAGCGTCCTTCAGGAATCTTTCAGGAAGCCGAAATGGAATCCTCAAGAGCACCCACGAATCCTTCGAAAATGAGCAAGACATTCTAAAACATCCCTGGGGATCCCCATGGACCCTCAATAACTCCCTCGAGGTCCGGTGGAACCCGACAATCTCTTTCTGCCGAGGTCGGGGCGGCATCACCCCCAGCTCCCCGACCCGTCGTGACTGCTTACGACGGAAGCCCCCGCAGGGCCTCGAGCCCTTCCCGGGGGACCGGCTTTTCATCAGAAATCGGTTTTTGACGGTCGAAGGGAACGGCGAATCCCCCCCCGAGCTCTCTATACACAGAAGCCTGCTGCCGTGGTTCCTTCACGTGGTTTCCCCCTGCAGGCCTGCTCGCGGAAGGAGGGCGCGGCGCGGTGTTTCGGCGGGGCTGCAACGGCCGCCCCCGCTCCCCTCGAGAAACTCACTGCGGCGATTCAGAGAGGCAATACGGTAGGGCGGCCGCCTTCCCGGTGGCGTTCACGAGGGGGGGAGGCATCGCTGACCGAATTGATCGCGGATGCAGGGGTGGCCATGGTCGCATCGATATGAGAACGCGTGCGTGAAAGATACCGGAAGACAACAAATAAGAAACAAAACGATACATAGATATCTGGATTGCACAGTGAGAGACGACTAGAAGAAAGAGAAATAACAACAAGAGATGCGATGGGAGAGATAGAGACAGAGAAGGAGGAATCAACAAAGACAGCGGAAAACAGACAAGACAGGCAGACTGACCGACACACAAACAGACGGACAGATGGACGGCGGCCAGACAGACAGACAGATACACAACATGATACTGAATGAAACTGAAAGGGGGATAAAGAGAGAGAGAGAGAGAGAGAGAGAGAGAGAGAGAGATACCGCTGACACACTACACGAATCTTAAACTTAGATCGCAACTATTTCAACGAGCGGGGAGAGCGGGCAGATGCCAACGCAATCCTGGTCATGAACGTCACGGCAATGACGTCCATTTGCATCGCACATTGCTCAGCTGATCGCATCGCCAAATCACAAAGGCACTGGTTTGTGTTACGTTGATGTTGTTTCCCACGGGTGTTCGATCAACACGGTTGTTCTACATTGGTTCGGGTTGTTCGAATGCGATTGCACTCGCGTTCGTTTGCGTTGATATGCGAAGCGTGATAGGGCGCCACGAAGATCCAACGCTGGGCCAGAGGCGGAGGGTAAAGGCGCTGGGAAGCGACGGGTACAAGTTCGGCGAGTTCGAACCCTGATCGAAGGTGCTCTTTTCTGTTCAGCTGTTATGGTGACCCCACTGGGGGGGGAACTCCGAACGCCACGCGACCGACTATAAACTGC